CCGACGATCCCACTGACTCAGCCAGTTGCCTATGCACCGTGCTAAGTACGCCTTGTAAATTATCGTTTGCTTTTTTCCACTATTTTCATTTTTGTTATGTCAACACAATCAAGCGCAGCTATTCCGCTGCAATTCACTTGATCATGTGGTTGTTGGTATTGTTAATTTTTGCTAATAATTATATTTTTAGAATGTTTAACTTTTAGGTGTGCTCGTCCTTAAGTTATTTGTTTTTTTTTTGTTATTTCTTGGCCTTATAACAATTGTATTCAACAATTTTTATTGAGCTCGAGGCCGTACCATGATTCAATAATAGAAAGGTTTTGTAATAAAACAGTCTTCTCGCTCCCACATACAAAATCGGCTCCTTTACTTGTGCAAAATGTTGCTCACTCTACAGTTTCTAGTTATGAGTAGTAAACCAAAAATTCTTCTACTAAATATTCGTTGGCATCACCAAAGGTTGCGCAATTTTCTGGAACAAGTCTAGAATATCGACCGTTTGGCTATAAAATAACCATAACCGGCGATTGATAGAACTGTTTACGCCGTTAAAAAATAAAGAAGATGTAAGAGGTTTATTTGCTTTGTTTGTTTATATTTTTTATTATCACTAAATTCTTGAGACCAAAAAGTAAATCATGATAAAATATGCATATCGAATTAAAGATAATAACTGATGCTTCTAAATAGAATAAATTTCTTTGCCATTAATTATGCAGTTTTTTCAAAAAAGATTATTTCAAGAAAAAAAAAACATTTGTTCGTTGTTTAGAGGTGTTGGTTTGAAAATATAAAAGAGCATATAAATATAATATATGGTGACGTCATCATTATTTTAATCGGTTATATAGTTCATACGATATTAATGTTTAAAATATCAAAATATTTAAATTTAACCTTCTAGAACGTCTTTATTTTTTACTTGCGCCTAATAATTTTGGCATGATTGAAATGAGCGTAAAAAGTTCTACTGATCTGCATTTTTCGTTTTTGCCTAGCTGTCCCAAATTACATAACCTTGTATTTTTGAATCATGAGGCCGTACAATACATAACAAAAATGAAACTAGTGGAAAAAAGCAAACGATAATTTACAAGGCGTACTTAGCACGGTGCATAGGCAACTGGCTGAGTCAGTGGGATCGTCGGTTCGAATCCTACTGAAAGAAGTCTGATGAGGAAAAGTGGTGATTTCCGAAATAGCTATCACTTCTACCATTTTTTCAAATTATTGTTGCTATTCCACAAGAAATTTTCATTAAAAACCGGCCGCGAGCTCAATAAAAATTGTTGAATACAATTGTTAT